CGAAGCAATTGTGAAGGTCGCCTTCCTCTCCTTCTCGTTGAGACAGTCCTCCAATATAATACAGAGGAAAAGGGCTGTCATAACTTGGAGAAAGAACCATATTTCCGAAATCGCTGCAAACTCTTAAGTTGTAGAATAGTCTAGAAGGTTCTAGACCTGACTTTGCTACAAATGAAACAAAGGAATTTGCAGCCGTTTGCCATGCTTGTAAGCTTCCAAGTTCACGAATGAGGTCGTCCGTTGGAATAAGCCTTCTGCAAAGTCTATCAAATATGATCTCCATGAAGGGCTCAGTTACGTTATCGTTCTCTTCATAGCTTTCTTCTTCATCCTCTTCTTTGTGCGGTTCTTCTTTGGCGTCATGGTTTTCCTTACTGCTGTCTTCGGAATCATCATCACTATCATCACTGCTAGTTTCATCATCATCATCATCATCATCTCCTTCACTGTCATCTTCGCTACTTTCATCATCACTTTCTGCCTCGTCGCTTTCATCATCATCACTTTCGTTATCTTCTTGCTCTTCATCATCGTTCTCATCAGCATCGTCTTCCTCATCCCTTGCATTATTTTCTTTTTCGTCATCCTCGCTGTCTGCGTCTCCATTATTCTTCTCTTTTGCACCAGGAAGAGTTTCAGCAAGGTCCTCAATTTCACGCAAGCCACCATCAGTTTTGTCATCTGTGCCAAAGCTTTCATCAGCCTCTATGTCATCTTCATCCTCCTTTCTTTGTCCAAATGCAAGCTTCTTTGCATTTTTGACTATGGATCCAAACATTTTGATGTACTTCTTTGAGAGATTCTCTGTTTCCTCAACAAAAATTGAAGGACAAATGGATAGAAACTGCAGAATGGATAAAAAGGAGGATCCGTGTTTCCATAAACAGAAATGTATCTGTGAGAGGAGCAGAGCTACGTCAGTTTCTGGTGTGTCGGTTAAACGTTCCACGCAGGCTGCTTTCAGGACTTTGATCCTTTGAGGACGTGATAAGTTGGAAGAATGCTGCACAGAAACATAATCTAAGACGTCTTCGATGTATTCGTTGAGGTTATCATTCAGCCAATTACGACCAAACAATTGGGGAACCGTGTTTTTTATGTCCGTGCAGAGTTCCTGGAAAAAGTCTTGCTTGGCGTCTTCAATTGCTTCACTTTCAGGTATTACCTCTTCCTTTTCAAAGCGTTGCCTCCACTCTTCTAGATATTTTTCTCGCAGGCTTCCAATTCTCTCAAAAAATATTATGGAAAAAGGAAAGTTTAAGCAACATTTCGTCTGCGTCAGTACGTAGCACTTTGCATCTTGTGGATCAGGAACTTCATCGATGTTGAAGAGATCTTCATCTTCAATAAGCTCGGCCAAGAATCTTTCGTTCTCGTTCTTTCCTTTGGAATTCTTCAGTGCACGTTGGCAGCTTTCAAACGTCAGTCGGTTTGCTATGAGATATACTGCCTACAAAAATACATAAACACATGAAATTTATTTATCTCATTCCAAGATATGCTCGGTGTCTTTTTATAAGCGAAAGAAGAAAAAAGAAAGGAAGAAATTACAGTAGTATCGCATATAGGGACACTGCATTAAAAACCCATTCGAAAACCATATGACCCTGATGAATTCAAAAGAAATGAAAATTTAAGTTTCATGAATATCCTCATAATTTTTTATTATTATTATTATTATTATTATTATTATTTATTTATTTATTCATTTATATCTTTCTCTGCTTATTTAATACTGTGGTTATTACAGACAACCTGTACCATCTTTTCATAAAATAAAATAACTGTGTTTTTATACTATTTAGATTTATTTATAAATTATCTATATTGTNTCATCATCATCATCATCATCTCCTTCACTGTCATCTTCGCTACTTTCATCATCACTTTCTGCCTCGTCGCTTTCATCATCATCACTTTCGTTATCTTCTTGCTCTTCATCATCGTTCTCATCAGCATCGTCTTCCTCATCCCTTGCATTATTTTCTTTTTCGTCATCCTCGCTGTCTGCGTCTCCATTATTCTTCTCTTTTGCACCAGGAAGAGTTTCAGCAAGGTCCTCAATTTCACGCAAGCCACCATCAGTTTTGTCATCTGTGCCAAAGCTTTCATCAGCCTCTATGTCATCTTCATCCTCCTTTCTTTGTCCAAATGCAAGCTTCTTTGCATTTTTGACTATGGATCCAAACATTTTGATGTACTTCTTTGAGAGATTCTCTGTTTCCTCAACAAAAATTGAAGGACAAATGGATAGAAACTGCAGAATGGATAAAAAGGAGGATCCGTGTTTCCATAAACAGAAATGTATCTGTGAGAGGAGCAGAGCTACGTCAGTTTCTGGTGTGTCGGTTAAACGTTCCACGCAGGCTGCTTTCAGGACTTTGATCCTTTGAGGACGTGATAAGTTGGAAGAATGCTGCACAGAAACATAATCTAAGACGTCTTCGATGTATTCGTTGAGGTTATCATTCAGCCAATTACGACCAAACAATTGGGGAACCGTGTTTTTTATGTCCGTGCAGAGTTCCTGGAAAAAGTCTTGCTTGGCGTCTTCAATTGCTTCACTTTCAGGTATTACCTCTTCCTTTTCAAAGCGTTGCCTCCACTCTTCTAGATATTTTTCTCGCAGGCTTCCAATTCTCTCAAAAAATATTATGGAAAAAGGAAAGTTTAAGCAACATTTCGTCTGCGTCAGTACGTAGCACTTTGCATCTTGTGGATCAGGAACTTCATCGATGTTGAAGAGATCTTCATCTTCAATAAGCTCGGCCAAGAATCTTTCGTTCTCGTTCTTTCCTTTGGAATTCTTCAGTGCACGTTGGCAGCTTTCAAACGTCAGTCGGTTTGCTATGAGATATACTGCCTACAAAAATACATAAACACATGAAATTTATTTATCTCATTCCAAGATATGCTCGGTGTCTTTTTATAAGCGAAAGAAGAAAAAAGAAAGGAAGAAATTACAGTAGTATCGCATATAGGGACACTGCATTAAAAACCCATTCGAAAACCATATGACCCTGATGAATTCAAAAGAAATGAAAATTTAAGTTTCATGAATATCCTCATAATTTTTTATTATTATTATTATTATTATTATTATTATTTATTTATTTATTCATTTATATCTTTCTCTGCTTATTTAATACTGTGGTTATTACAGACAACCTGTACCATCTTTTCATAAAATAAAATAACTGTGTTTTTATACTATTTAGATTTATTTATAAATTATCTATATTGTATATATAAAAAACAAATGCTGTAAATCCTATAAGAGAGTGGTACAAATAAAGTTGTTGTTGTTAGTTTTACCTTTGCCAAAGGTCGGCGAACAAGTTGATCAATATATCGTTGCAATGCACCTGCCAATGACCCCAGCAAAGCTTTCTTGTCACATGACACGTTTATCTGCCAATCACAAGCCTGCAGATTTGAAGACCAGAATTCGCCTTCTTTCACCTTGTCATGATGTTGTTGAATCCACCGAAGAACAAGCTTTTCAAGGTATTTCATCATCACTTTCGATGACTGCAATTGAGTTACCTGACCATTGAGGCTTTCTTGGTCCGAGAGGTCTTGTGGATACTTAAGTCTTGTGAAACACCACATCAACTTGTCTGCGATGATTTTCTTCAAGGAAAGCTTCTTAGTTTTCATCAGATCAAACACACTTTCACCAAGAAGCATGTCGATTGGAATCTCTGGTTCTTCTAGAGAATCTAGAGTCGCTTGTTTCCATTCTCTTAAAAAGTTGAACTGCCATTGCTTTGTCTTTTCTAAAGGGTCTCCTTTCTGTAGATGGATAACGATACAAATGCTCTTGGCTGGAGAGGTACCTTCCTGGTAGCATGATTTGAGATACCTCTCATGTTGTTGCTCTAGAATAGACTTCATCAGAGATATGTGCTCCCCATCTAAATTTGGCTTGCATTGAAAGACGAGGAGGTCTTTGTCAGAGCTTGTCCAGAACATCTGAATGTGCTTTGAGAGTTGCTTCTCGGACTTGAATGCTCCAAGTTTCTCTACTTGGCATGTGAACGCACCCTTAAGACATGCTTCTACATCTGTATGGATGCTGGAATGGGTCATAACGAAATACTTTAGACTTGGGTACTCCAGCGTACGCTCTGTCTGCGTGGTTTGTTTGAAAGAATCAATAAACCCTTTAAGGCCCTTGTGGACAGGGGTCTCAAAGAAGTACCCGTCATAAAATTCTTTGACATCGACAGGATCGTCCTTGAACAGATCTGATCTTAAGCTTCTAAGTACTCCCTCGGGCGTAGCAATAGCCATTAGCTCCTTCTTGCAAACTTGAAAAAGTTCGCTCATTGGAACATTCCTCTGCCTCAGAAGAAGGACCAATGAAGCAAGTGTGTCATCCTGAAATCCAAGAAAAACATCTTTTTCACTGAAGCCTTTCTTCTCGATCCTACAAAAGGCTTTGGTCCATCGCTTTAGTTTGCTGATTACGTTTAGCTCTTCATGACCCAAGACGTCTGAGTAACGGAGAAGCTGTTTCTCGAACCGGTTTAAGAAGGGAGGATCTGTATAGTCAACTTTGTCTTCATCAACCAACACAATACAACGAAATCCATCGTTAACCTAGGGATCAATAAAACAATCACAATGATATATAGAGAGCTTATTCATGTGACTGAAAAAGGAGTTGACATTGAAAGCTACTGTACAGAAATATAGTAAAACTGTGAAATTTCGTGGACATCAACTATCGAAGATGTGGTATATATGTTGGAAGAAAACATTTGCCTGCCAAGATAAATTTCTTTGTAAAAGTTTTTAATTCTCTAGATTGAAGACAATTTTCACTAAACGTTTTTCTGATAAAAGAAATAATATCAGTTTTTTGATAGCGTGAAGTTACAGTAAAAAAACCTTCTTCAATATTAATTTATTGCCAGCCTAATGAACTAACCAGATACTACAGCTGGCGTTGTGCACATTTTAGAGGTATAGTTATTTCTACTAGAAAATCTAACCTGGCACATAGGGTTACTGTATGGTCCAAGAGCAACACGACAATTCTTCTTGTTTCCCACCACGACATAGTTCTGGTTCAGCATGTCATAGAGACTTCCATAGACACTCTCCAGATCCCTCAAGACTAACACACAGTCTTGTTCCATGTGGAGAATAATGCGGCTTAGGATTCGGTAGCTGTAGTCCTCAGAAATGTCTTCCTCGAATTTGCTTCCATAGATAATCACCTTTTCTCTGCTTAAGTCTGCCAAAGTCTTGTCCATTATAGTAAGCGCTGAATCCCCACTTGTTATTAGCATCAAGTGTCGGGCAGATGGGTCGACCAGGTTGTCGGAAATCAGATCGGTCACAGGGAATTCATTTCTTGTTTCCAAAATTCCACTTAGCTGTGATTCTGACTTTTCTGCGTAAATGTCATCAATTGATTTTTCTTTCATTGTTAGGCCGCCGAAGTTTCTTTGCAGGGCACGGAACGTGCAACAAGACCTCTCGCTTTCCTACATAACGCAAAATAGCTAGTGAAATTGTGCTAGGGACATTCAAAACCTTCAAATTTAATGGATACCCTGAAACCAATTTGGGCTTATCAAAGGTAGGCAAGTTGATACAAACATTTGGAATTGAATTTAGCCTTCGCCAATAAGTGGGTGCCTGGGAGAAATAACAACCGGAGAAAAACCCTCGAATCAAGAGAAGATTTAACAAACTCCTTAAATCTGTGATGCCAAGTCCAGGAAATGAACCTGAGACACCGACAAGAGGCAAGAGGAGAGTGTACAACCAGTAAATGGGATGAAGGAAAGGGAAGTGTAAGTTAATATACGACGATTAGAATAATACCTAGTTATTTGTATACACTCAGAAAAAATTGATTGGAAGGGAAAAGTGGATGGCTAAAGAGAGGAAGAGAAATGTAGGGAGAGAGGGAATTGATAACAAATTACCTCAGTTGCTGCAATCAGAGTTCGACTTAAACACTTTATCAATGAGTAGTAATCCCTCAAACCATGGAAGTTTTCGTGTATCTGATTCTTTTGGTACTCAAAGTATGACCGAGCAAGACAGTCAAGCTTGCTTTCACTTAGGCCTACAGGAAGAAAATGACAGTTTTATCAATCTCGTCAAAATTAATCAAAAATAATGAGAAAAAAGAAATAAAATTTAAAAAATTTAAAATCAAGTAAAATTTAAAGAAATCAATCTTGTCAAATATTTTACTTAGCTTACTTTTGGAATGATATCTGCATAAAATTAGCCTCCCTCAAGAACAACTTATTTGTAAAAGTCAACAATAATGTAAAGGATGAAGAATACCAATTTTTTGAAATCCCACGAACTTTTAATGGTATCTGCGAATAGCTGACTTATGAACGAGGCTAAGCCTATAGAAAATGTCAGGTGGGAAAACATTACACCCAAAGTCTATGGTCTCCTAGTTGACATTGTTCTCCATTTCACATTCCACACTGTTCTCTCCCCACCTTATTTCATAGTAAGACAGAGTAACCCAGTATCTGGAACCTTCGCACTCCCTTTCAAAAAAACTAAATTTGCTATCTCAGTAAGCTTAACACAAACCTTCTTGCGCTTTTTCTTGTACTTTTATATCTAAGGTATGCAACTGTGCCTCGAGGATAGACATTCCAGTCTCTTTCAGATCTTCATACGTCGGTTCAGGTCTTGACAGATGAATGGCACGGTTCATCTTCGCTGCATCTAGGGCCCAGTTTGAGATTCCTACAACGGCCACGTCAGGGAACTCCTGTTCTTCTGGCTCCAGCAGACGATGAAGAACTTTCAACGGGTTGTACTTGGATATTTCTGCAAGGCCCACTTCATCAAGCAGCACTACAGGAATGGATTCATCTTGCTTGTTGTGCTCTTTGTACTGCTTTGCTTTCTCGAATACCTAAAAAGGCATTGCCATTGGTCAATTTAGAAATTCATTTTGGGACACTTTAAAAAAGTCTATGGGGCGACCTTCTATCAAAGTGAAAAGGAACTGAAATAGGCTTTAGCTGTTTAGCAAGTAACAAACCACAAGTTTTTGTCTGAACTATGTCTAGAGGTAACCAAGTGGAGTTTCCACATCATATTTATAATTTTCCCTACGGAATAATTTTTTCATCAGTTTAGTAATAAAAGTGGCCTCAATTAAATTACCTTAAGTATTCCTTCTGACGTAGAAGACTCTGAACCTTGGTAAGACACGACCAATAGCTGCGGCAACGTCTTGAAGAATTCATCTTTGGAGTCCTTTCCTCGAAGATTGCTTCTGATGACCTGCATGGACAGGGATTTGCTACATCCAGGCTTACCCACCACAAACACAGGGATCCTGTTCAGAATACACACCAGGATAACAAACACGTTCTCTCTTAAGGCAGTATTTCGAGCAGTGCCTTCTGGAAGCTCCATTCTAGCAAGGTACTCCTCCTGTTCTGCTCGTATGACGAGATCAAGCTCAGCAGCTGAAAATATCTGGTGATGTTTTGTGTAAACCGCTTCGAGCTTTAGCCGGTACTCTTTTCGTTTCTTACTGGAGGGAATCCTACTCTGATAAGAATGAGCCAAGGCCAAAACGATCGACCTATCTTCATTATCAATACTTTGCGCTTCTTCATAAATATCCCTTGCCTTAGCGGTAAGTTTTGATACATCCAAGGCAGGTCGATCGTTGATCATCTTCATGAACCATTTAGCCAGGAGAATGCAACGGCGGACATCCCGGAGACTTACGCAGTAAGGATTTCCTTCCACTTCTCGGATAAACGCCTGTGATGCCGCGAGCAAATCAACCACCAAATCGGGATCATTAATGTTGAGCTCGTCTACCATGCGTTCGATGTAGACTCGTTCATCTTTGGAGTCAAGAGATCCATAATCCCACACATAGTCCATCATGGTCTCTGGAAGTGGTTTCACTCGATACACAAGGTTCGAATACTCGTCTGTCAGGCTCTTTCCAGTCAGACCTGCTGTGACAATGCTGTCAGTTGGTCTCAGGCAGTAAGGATTGCACGCTGCTATAAACACAAGATTAGGAGGAAGCTCTTTGCCATTCAAGGTTCTGTGACAGATGATGTCATTGATGAGGCCAAGGTAATCACAGGTATTTATCTCATCAAAGAACACCCACACTTGCTTTCCCAGATCGTTTCCCGCTTCTTTTACTCGATCCTCTGTAAACTCCACGATGTCTTTCTCGTAGATTCCCGCATGGAAGTTAAGAACCTCTATTGGAACGCCACAACTGTTTGCCAGATAGCGCACAAGGCTTGTTTTACCACATCCTGTCTCTCCCATCACAATCACGGGAACTCCAGCGCGTATACGTTGAATGATCAAGACCATCTTTAAGATGTTGTCTGGGGTCAGAACATAGCTTTGGATATCCTTGGACTGACTTCTTGTGTCAGCGAAGAGAATTTTCTTCAACTTGTCCGTCAGTTCCTTTTCGCTGAGGTCTCCTAGATCCCTCAATATATCATTCTGACTTTTGAATAGCGCTATAACTTGTTCAGGAACCTTTCCAAGCTCACGGAATAGTGCCGATATGGAAAGTGCCTCCTGGAACATTAAAACTAGGTGATTCTCATCAGCCCACTTGACCATTCCTTTTACCCTGTCAACCATTTTCGCCGCTGACTTTCCTTTTTGGCTTGATGGAAGAAGTAACCTTAGGTGTGGATCATTTTCCCGCACAGCCATAGCTTGGACCTCCTTACAGGCTCCAACGGACCTAGTGGCAAACTCAACAGACACATTCCTTAGGGCTTCAAACAAACTCACTCGCACGTTTTTCTCCTCTCCTAACATATCTTTTAAATGTTCAGGGCGAAAAAATTGACTTGCGGAGAATTTCCTTAACTGTGTCGCCAACACATTTAGAAACGTTTCAATGACGTTGTAACAAAGGTCACCACTTCCATGAAAGTGCTTTGAAATCAGGTCTCTGCACTCGCTTTCCTTGAGGGGGGTAGCTTCCTTAAGATCTTTTAGAGTCAAGCTGTCTTTCTCGAGAGTTTGATTGTCGTACGCTTTGAGGTAGTGGCAAACTACTTGTATTGCACTTCCATTTTCTTGGCTGCACATAAACTTGTCGAAGCTCCACTCCTCATGAACACGATGAAAACACTTTGTTACAGAAAGTGAGTCTCTAAGACTATGTTGTAGCGTGTTTGCTACCTCGATCGCAATAAAGTGCGTAGGAATGTGAAAAAGCTTGGTCCCAGATGATACCATGCCCAAAACGATAAGCTCAAAAAGAAAAGTGTCAACCAAAAGAGGATCGTCTACTTCTGATATATCAATGTGCAGAAGGCATTCTTCGTCAATGCCAAGTTCTAGTAAGCGATGCACAAGCTTTTCGCGTGATACTGGGCCATTAATAGAGAAACAGGTTATCCTCTTTCGGTTCTCTAATGCTCTTTCATGGATTAATTCTGTCTTGCCGAGCCCCGGTAAGTCTGATGTTACCATACTCACCTCGGGAAATAATTCCTTGAAAGTGCGCCTTAGTTTTACATCTGACATTCCTGGTATATTCTTGCTGCATTCCCTAAACTGGTTAACGATATGATGGTGCTGTCCCCCTCGACATATCAGTGCAAGCCAGTAGTTTGTTTTGGAAGACGTTTGGAATTCTCTAATGGAATCAATGAGTTGGAACTGCAAATCCGTCGTCAGACTTTCAACATTTGCAAGACAGTAAGGACCACTGGTGGTGGAATTCTCTTGAAAGCAACGTCTTAGAAAGAGTTCTATCTCATACCAAGTTGAATTGCCGTGACAGAACAAAACTCTTTTCGGTTCTGGAGAGGCATTTGCATTTTCGAAAAGCTGCATGACAACGGATGCTGTTTTGGTACTGTCTTTCTCAAGTGGAACTACAAACAAACCTTGTTTTTCATCCTTTTCCACCGATTTTTCTTGGTAAAATTCTCGTCCAAAAAATTCCTCCAAACGAATGGCGATGTCGTTGAACTGGTCCTCGTATTGCCCGCTTGAAACCAATTGGCAGTTCTCTTGAAAATCTGTCATCTTTTTCCTCGTGATGGAATTATCAACAAAACGCAAAAGGGAGAACGCTTCGTCTTCGAAAACATCACTGCCATCAAAGAACTCCTTTAGGGCCCACAACTGCTTTGTATGAAAGAAATTTAGGAAGAAGTTTGACTCTCTAACCGACCGTACTGTCTTCTCCCAATCTTGAAGATCTTCCTTTAATTCCTTACAAATATCTTCTATCTCTTCAAGTGTCTCACATTCGCTCCAGTACGTTTTATAACCTGGATGTCCCGAACTTTGAAGTTCTTCTCCAGTGGCAATAATCTCATTAAGCAAGTCGATAATCTTGATAAAACTTTGAAAGTCTACACTCTCGTCTGTGTTATTCTGTTGCTTTTTTTCTGTGTTTACGATGAGCAAAGCACGGCTTTTTAAGTCTTGCAATTTCTCCATGTCGTGTTTCACCAATTTGGCACCTTGAAATCTGTCTTCTTCATCTTCATCTTCTAAGTAACTCAAACTGTACTCCCATTCTTCTTCACTACGTTCGTGATATATAAAGAGATTTCCATGACTTTCATCTTCTTTGGAGTTTATCTTGTACTTTCCTTTATTGAGAGCCTTACTCACAATCTCTTTCGTCATTTCACCACGGTTTGCCACATTCTTGTAGATATTCCTCAAACTATGGGCGTTGTTGCCACTATCTTTTATTCGTGCAGCGATACCCAAAGCTCCAGCCTCGCCAAGAGTTTGGAGGCGTTCAGTCAGGACTTTAAAGAAATCTCGAGGTTCAGCTTTTAATACTGGCGACAGAAACTTGTGAATCTCGATAAAATCCGAAACTTCCTTAGCGGCAACTGTAGTGTCAGAGTGTACTTCTACTGCATCAATCAGATTACGGACATCATCATTAGCTGTTTCTCGTAACAGCTTGATTAACTCGGTTGATCCTGAGAGTTCTATGATAACCTCACCGTACGAACCATGCAACGGTTTCTCTATGTCAACAACTTCCTCAGTCGCATCATAGAGTTCACCCAGGTCTTCGTAATCCTCTAGAGTTTTCAACGCGAATTCACTCAAATCATCCGCTTGTGGAATTTTTAGGCTTTCTAAGACACTGTTGAGAGCCTTCACATTTTCGTGAATTGATGGGAATTTGAGGAATCGTTGCAGTAGTTTTTCAGCATCACTGTCAATTCTTCGATCTTCAAACTTGGTACATATGTAGTCCAACTCCTTTTTCAAGTCCGTGACGCCACTCATAATACATTGTGCGTCGGTTATCGACATTGAACCTGGATTCGTGAAAAGAGTCTCACATGTTTCTGTCAAATATAAATTCCCCTCGTCTGTCAATATGGTCATGACTTCTTGTAGGGAACACTCGGACGTATCAGCCACCGCCATCTCCTTCTCTAGACGGGCCTGGGCTGCATTGTAGAAGACTCGATACTCTTGCAGCTCCTCCAAGGAATCCCTCGATTCTAATAGAGAATCTGCGCAACTCCAGTTATCTTCGTCTAGGACATCTCCCAAACTCATGTCATCGTAATCTTTCCTTTTCTTCATCGTCTCCTGCAGAATGTCGTCGATGTCGGAAACAGCTACAATTTTCACCGTAATTTGTTTGACGAAATTCAGAAAGTGCAGAAGTTGCTTGAGCTGTTCGTGAACATTTTTTTCCTCATCGGCGCAAGAGGAGACGAGGTCTTCTAAATGACCTTTCTTTCCAGTGAAGAATCTATGGATTTTCCCAAGAAGTTCCTTGTGGTATTTTGTTGACAGTCTTTGCAAATCTTTGATCTTGATGTCTTTTGTTTCAAGAGCATATTCAAATGACAAAATGGCTTGACGAAGTACGTCCAAATGCTTTGGGATTTCAGATTCCTGCCATTGTGGCATAACATCCATAAGGACCGACCACAGACCTAGGTCTGGGAAAACACCTTGAAATACCTTCAAGAAGTCTTGCTGTCCAGTCTTTCCGGTCTCATTAGCCAGGACTTTGGTTTCGCGGCATAGAGAAAACAGTGTTTCTTGCGTAATGCTACAATAAAAGAATAAGATGACAATGATAATTATGCATATTTTTTTGCTAATCACTTGACGATATTGATATTGAGTGAGTGAGTAAACTCTTTATTTATAGCGGGTAGCACTAAATAGCCAAAAGGTTAATAAACCTGTAGCCATCAGCTACCTATAAAATATATCATTATCTGTAAAAAATATTACATAATTCATGGTACACAATAAAGAAACACATACAAACATGATATACACGATCAATTTAATGTTTTGACTTAAGAACTAGCATCTAAATGATTATACAACTATTTCAAAAAAGGTTGGCGAAGGTTTTGTTGCATTTCGTATGTTGCATTTTAAAAAATCATTAATAATTCATGAAGGAACACAATAGAAATCACGGATTCGTCTTCATTTGCATAAACTTCAACTTGAAATTTCTTTATCAAACTTGTTTCATTTCGTTAAAAATTCGGTACGATATGAGAACATACATCATGAGTTTTTTAAGCCGTTAAATAAACTTGCTGATCGTGTTTTATCGGGTCTAAAACCACTCGGCTGCGCCTCGTGTTTGGGACAGTTTCAAACCCAATAAAACACTCCTGATCGTTTATTGAACAGTACATAAAGCCCGAAATGCACTATGGGCAATGCAGACAGCGAAAGGTCACAAATGGAATTTTCCTAAACTTTGTCAGCACGTTTTTCAGGTATATTTTAGTCTGTGCTGACAATATTTACATAGGAATATAATGATACATTTCGAGCTAGGGTAAGCAACAAGTAACAAAACTTTTGCCAACCTTTTCTTTGAAATAACTGTATAAACTTGCTACAGGGGAAATTACCTTATCAGTTTGCTCTTGTCATTCTTTTCTTCTGATGACAACTGATTTAATAATGCGATTACGTTAGCATGACCGTGACCCCGTTTGATTTCTCTGTCGATGCAACGTCTCAGACAGTCCAAATAGATTTTTTCCACTTCTGGATGTAGCTCCTTGATGTTCTCGAATTCATTAGCGATGCCAGCTAGATCCACTACGTCCAAAGATGTGTGACACTTTTCGATAGCCTTTTCTTTTATGTTAACACAAGGACATACTTCCAATGCCAAAAATATTTCGTTTACAGAATGAAACATGTGAAGCATCGGGCTCCTTTTTTCTTTAAATGACTTCGGTTGATGTCTTATGAGGTTGTCATAAACTTCTGCTTTGATTTCGTCACTTGTTTTACTCCAGTATTTAGAACTGATGTTATTTTGTAGAACGGTGACAATGATCTTCTGCATTTGAGGAAGCTTGCTTGCGTCTACGATTTGTGTACGGACGTTTTCATTTGACAACACTTTTTCATCTGTGAAGAAAGTAATTACAGATTCTTCTTCCTCAGCATTTAGCATTCCCTTTCTTTTGACTTGTTCGAGGAGAACTTCCAGAAAAGAATTGATAAAATCGGCTTTAAATGCAACTGGGATCGCTTGCCATGATGTTTTGTCAAAGACAGCCAACAGCTTTCCTGCATGTCTCGAATTTAAAAGACGTTGGCACGTTGTCTTCAACATTTCAAAATTTGAATCCGTTTGGGATTGAAAAGAACTTAGAAGACCATCGTACACCATCCAGGCAGACGAGATCGATGGAGCTCTGTTGATCATAAAACCCAATACTCGATTTCTATCTTCCGCATTCATGTTTTTAAGAATGTCATACACCTCTGCTAGATTTGCACTAGTTGCTTTCTCTGACCACTTCATATTTTGGTTAAGATTTTTAAGAAAATCCGCACCAAAAATTAAGCAAAAGTGTACAGCCACTTCAGGAGGTGCTCCGTCTTTACTTCTGTTGAGAAGGTACGCAATAAAATGCTCAACGTCTGCCACCAAATTTTTCAATTGGTCTTTGCTGCACTGGCGTAACGTGCTCAGCAGCTGTAATGCAACCACATCGTCGATCAAAGCTTTCAAGAGTGGGTCGTTTTCTTTTGTCTTGTGTAACAACCTTTTGTCAAAATGTTGAATGACATGTGCAAAAAAAAGAGAGCTTTGCACAGAGAACTCTTGTTGTATCAATTCCTGCTGGATCCATTGGGCCACTTGATCTCTTTGTTCACGCGGAAAAGTTTTGTATCCAAAACGGATTTCATCATATTCATCCAAAGATTCTTCAAGCGTCCAATTCCCTTGCAAAAACACCGAGAAAACCGAACGAGCAAAGAAGAAAGGTCCTGTACAGAAATCGTTCCGATATCCACCAGGATAGCGAAAAACTGAGTAATCGCTTCCAAGTTTTACGATTTTCCTTTTTTCGTGAAAGCTGGTATAAAAAATGTTAGGATATTTTACCACATAATAATACATATAATATTTGGGATAGTCATATGCTGGATGCCACCAGTAAATCCTTTCTTCGTCAATGGGGTGCATAGAGTAGGAACATGCATCTTGGTTGTAAGTAGGATTCCAGATATGAAGCTCCACGGAAATTACTGGCTCTTGCACGCAAACATAAAAGCCAAATTGCCGTCCCTGGTAAAATCATATAGTAGATATTAATTCGTTAATAGAGGTTTTGCACCATCACATGATGGCAGCCATGACAGGAGGCAGGAACAATTGAATATAGTCTAGTCTGATTTAATGACAAAGTATTTAGTTTCCCAGTTTACCTTATTTACTCTAATTTATGCCTTAGTTATTTATTCGCGAGGACCAATGAGTACATTTCTTCAAAGTTTGATTGATAAACAACCTAAGTTTCAATTTAGGTATTCAATCCAGGATTAGCATCAATACAGTTTTGGAATCCAAAAAGCCTCGTTATATGAGATTAAACTTTCGTGTACTACGCCCTTGCACGCAAGAGAGTCAAAAACTTGACAAACTATCTAAACTAAGGGCAACATTATAAGTAGTTTAATAAACAAGGAGTGTTTTATCGGGTTTAAAACAACGAGGCGTAGCCGATATAAAGATTTCATCCTTATTAGTATTCTTTATATAAAGAATACTAATGAAAAAGACTTCATGGGGTATATTATGGTATAAAAAAGTAAGCAAAATTCTGCTTTCGGCACGAATAGCCAGAAAAATGTCCTGGTATTGATATATATGATTAAATAAGATAATTTCTTAATATAATTTGATAAATTATATCACAATTACATAACCATACCTGAGCTGTTTGTTGTTGAGTTGTTTTTGTTGCATCACTTGAATATCCGAAGAGAGAGAACAATTTGGATAACACGGATTGTCCTTCATCAGCACTCTGTTGTGTTGGCTCGTTTGCAGATTCATTTCCTTTCTTCGAATTTTCCTTTTCCGTATCTAAAGTATCCAGGCCTTTCTTTTCATCGACGATGTTTTCGTTGTCAAGGTCTGCGTCCCAGTAATCTATTTTCATGGCTTGATTACTTTTGTCTGTTACCATCGATTCGTTACTATCGCGATCTTTTATTTCTTTACCATGCATAGTTCCTTGTTTCGTTCTTTCCTCTGCGGCAGAGTCTTCAAGATTTTCACACTTTGAACTTCTTTCTCCTTCATCGGCACTGTCATTCCTATTAGTGTTTAGTATTGAATTGAATTCCGATTTCATTTCATCACCTTTTTTGGGCGCAGCATTGGGACTTTTTTCTTTCTTCTTGCGACTTTTCCCTACAGAACCTTCACCTTGCTCCTCGTTATGTTTATCAGCCGGTTTTTCAGGATGTATCTGAGACCCCTTGTTAACCTTAGCGTCTTCTCTCCTCCTCTCTTCTCGAGCATCCTTTCTCATTTTCTTTTTGTCTTTTGCCTTGACTTTCGTATTTTTCGTTTTTTTCTTTTTTTCTCTTTTCTTTTTCGTTCTTCCTACCTCGTCTTCTGATTTTGATACCTGATTTACAAACATCAACATTTTGAAGTGCATATAACCCCTGGTTGATTTTCTTATTATTAATTTTTACATAAAATGTATAGTTAAATGGTGAAATATTTTTTGAACTTTGTCTAAAGCATTTGAGTGCTGTAGCTAGTAATACCATACGCTGGCCATTATAAGAAAACAAATTTGCAAAATATGAACTAAGCTTCATGTAAACCATGACATCACCGTCATTAACATATTGGAAGTATAAACCTTTATGAAATAGAAACACAACACTCAAAACAAGAAATATTTCCCCATTCAACTATTTACTTCATTTAGAATCGATAAAGAGAATATCAAATCGGGGGTTATGTTCATTTTAAACTTCCAACAGTATTTGAGCATTAAATAGAGTGCAAGCACTAGAAACAATAGAAAACAATAGATCTTGCAATATTTCGTTCTATTTAGTGCAAAATATATTAATAAGAATTGTTTCACTGATTAAGTTTGAGCACTCTACTAGTCTATGGCCTTACAATTATAGACATTCCAAGGGCACTAGAATCCTGAAACTTTGTTTATTTACTGTGTTTATTTTCAGGGTTCGGGTGACATTGGAGAAAGAAACTCATTCTAATTTTATAATAATTCAATGACTATTTCATTTACCTCCTTTTCGTTGTCATTTTCAACATACTCATTAGCAGAATCATCATCAATTTCTACTTCTTCTTCCTCAGAGGTATCATCATCATCATCATTATCACTTTTTCCACCTCCTGTCTTGGTCTCAGGTTTCTTCCCTATAGTTTTCCCATCAGACAAACCTTTCTCTTCTTTTCCTTTCTGTTTTTCATCAGACAAACCTTCGTCTTCTTTTCCTTGCTGCATTTCTTCAACACTTGCACTATCAGATGATGTCTTGGTCTCAGGATTCTTTACTTTAGTTTTCCCATCAGACAAACCTTTCTCTTCTTTTCCTTGCTGCTTTTCTTCAACACTTTCACTACCAGATGATATCTTGGGCTCAGGCTTCTTTACTTTGGTTTTCACATCGGGCGACCATTTCTCTTCTTTTTTTTGCTGCTTTTCTTCAACACTTTCACTACCAGATGATGTCTTGGTCTCAGGCTTCTTTACTTTAGTTTTCTCATCAGGTGGCCCTTTCTCTTCTTTTCCTTGCTGCTTTTCTTCAACACTTTGACTTCTTGCTAATGAATGCTCATCCATTTCTTCACCACCGCAAGATGGGAAGTGCTTGGAGCCTATATTTTCCTCTATAAGGACTTGGTAATTGACAGTGTTCTTCTACATAGTCCTGAAAAAGATTCTCTTCATTAGTGATTGGGCAATTAGTGAAAATAATTTAATTTTTGTTTTGCTACACAGAACACAATTTGTTTTACAAATAATTTTAATATATTAATTTGCCAAGATACAAAGTGGACTTACAGAATGAAACCTTGTGTGCAATAGTGATTCAAGACAGGTTTCATCACAAAAGTTTCAGTGTATAACACCTACCTAGTGAAACTTACTACTCACAACAAAATTAATTTGTGTAGATTTTATGAGCTACAGTGAATTGGTTAATCATTAGTTACACTGAAAATGACTAGCAGTTACTTAAGTTGGGACTGTGTTGGTACACTGTATGTTCAATACAACAAGGCAATAAGAAGAAAACGTAAAGACCATGTAAAAATGTTCTTAACTATACTGTGTATTTGTGCAGTTGTATCCAAGAAGGATGAAATGTTTGGTCTTGCTTCCCTAGGGAACAATAATTCCCCCTTTTCAAAATCCTACATCCACCTTAAAAACCTGGTGAAGCTGCTTAAATGCGAAAATATAATAGACTAGTATGCTTAACGATAGAAATGGGGGAGGGGGGTTGAGATTAAAAGCAATTTCACAAACAGTCTGATTGTTAAGTCGATATGCTTTACAAGTCAGTAAGAAAATTTTAGAAGATTGTATTTAGTAAAAGACATTTTATTTAGCTATTGAAAATTTACAGCAAAGAGCCTCAAGAATTGTTCTTGGTCAAAAATCGTGTGACATGTTCTATGAAGAATGATTTAGATCGTTAGAATTTAACACTCTCAAATATTGAAGAGAGTACTTGTCGTTAATAGAAGGTTATAAGATAGTGTCTGGGTTAAATGGCCTACATTTCAATGATTAACTTGAGTATTGTAAGTAAGACTCGAGTAGTTAGTAAATTTTTATTTACATCATAGAGTTAAATACATTTATACATAAATAAATTTTTTTTTTTTTTTTCTATCCCTTTCTTTTTTTTTTTTTTTTTTTTTTTTTTTGCGCAAGTAT